ATTTAAAGTGTCGACTACTACTAGTAGTAAATATTTAAAGTGTCGACTACTACTAGTAGTAAATATTTAAAGTGTCTACTACTACTTCTGGTAAATATTTAAAGTGTCTACTACTACTTCTAGTAAATATATAAAGTGTCTACTACTACTTCTGGTAAATATATAAAGTGTCTACTACTACTACTTCTAGTAAATATATAAAGTGTCTACTACTACTTCTAGTAAATATATAAAGTGTCTACTACTACTTCTGGTAAATATATAAAGTGTCTACTACTACTACTTCTAGTAAATATTTAAAGTGTCTACTGCTACTTCTAGTAAACATATAAAGTGTCTACTACTACTTCTGGTAAATATATGAAATATCTACTAGGAATATATCTTACATTTTATTGTTCAAATACCTGAATCAAATTTTTGTTTGTTAGATGTTGAGAGCAAAAATACACAGTGGGCTATCTGTGTATGCCCACCTCGAGTATCGAAACCCGGTTCATAACGTTGTAAGTCTTCCGACTTACCGCTGAGCCACTAGGGGCCTTGAATCGAATAGAAAGGAGTTTGATCGAAAAAAATCTCAAACGCACGCGCGCGCAAACACATACACAATACAGATTTAAAGTTGTTTGTTTCTTGACATTCATAAATATCAGAAGGTCCATTTCTCACGCCATCCGAGGCTTGTATCTCTGGTGTCGTTTAACAACTTTACCGCCACAGAGCACGTGAGTTCTGGGAGAACTCTTACCGTCAAGGTCGTTAATCAGCAAAGCTAGATGACCTTTGAACTCACCTATAAAGATGGTTCAAATTTAATGGTTGCGATAGAAAGCAATCCTGTTCATCTGTCATTACATATCACGTTTCTACTAAATAACAGTCGACAGCTAGGACTGACGAAAACTGGGCAACATTCCAAAGGGGAACATTGTCAGCTGTTAGAGTTACAAGACACTAGTTGGATAGGTTTTTAATCTCTACTTTGGTTGGTAAATTTAAACTGCTTCATTTAACTATAGGATCACAATGACAATCAAATTAGGGATTAAAAATCATTTAAAGATCTATCCAACTTGTATCACTTTACTTGTTGGTGTACTTTTTTATTGAAGCATTTATTTTGTTTTGGATACTTGTTACAGCAATTCTAAGACTGACCAATGATCCCTAACTTCCGTTAAAATGTTAATTTTTTTTCCTATGTATTCGTTCAGTTTTTAGTGTCCATGGAATAGATACAACATCCGTAAACTTTAAGTATAGCCATACCCCGACAGCTTTAACTTTTACAATAATTAAAACCACAGTCACAAATTAATAAAATTTAATCCTTACTTTGGCAGCTTTATACACTTATCTGTAGGTCAAAGTAAGGACTGAATTTATACATTTGTGATTGTGGTTTTAATTCTTGTTTAATTATTTTTTGTAGCAGGATTTCTACTTCATTTAAAAATTCGTATTTTTTTTAATACTCTTGTTTGTTTACTTTTTATGTTATACCTATATAAAGTATTCAAATTCGATGACGAGGAACCCACTTTGAGACAAAACCTTGTCGAAACGTTGTACATTTGCTGTTATGTTAAAACTTATGTTAAAGTTTTTCTTCATCACCCATTCAAGCCGTCTCCAGCCAATACTATATAAAAGTATATACTTTATCTTTAGAAACTGTCGCATGTCTATTCATCGACATGTAGGGCCATCTGTTGGGTTGAAAAGATATTTAAGTATGTGTATGATATGCTTACCATTTATAATATATCTATATATATATTTATATATATATATATGGATTTTCATGGAAATATCAAAAGCGGATACCCACAGGCCAGCCAAGTAAGCTGGAAAAGTTAGTGTAAAGTTAAGTGATGCATCACCTTGCATCACATATTGCTATCTAGTATAAGGTTAGTAGTCCATCAACTTGTATCACGTATTGCTATCTTGTGTAAAGTTAGTGGTCCATCAACTTGTATCACGTATTGCTATCTTGTGTAAAGTTAGTGGTCCATCAACTTGCATCACGTATTGCTATCTTGTGTAAAGTTAGTGGTCCATCAACTTGTATCACGTATTGCTATCTTGTGTAAAGTTAGTGGTCCATCAACTTGTATCATGTATTGCTATCTTGTGTAAAGTTAGTGGTCCATCAACTTGTATCACGTATTGCTATCTTGTGTAAAGTTAGTGGTCCATCAACTTGCATCACGTATTGCTATCTTGTGTAAAGTTAGTGGTCCATCAACTTGCATCACGTATTGCTATCTTGTGTAAAGTTAGTGGTCCATCAACTTGCACCACGTATTGCTATCTTGTGTAAAGTTAGTGGTCCATCAACTTGTATCATGTATTGCTATCTAGTATAAAGTTAGTGGTCCATCAACTTTCATCACGTATTGCTACCTAGTATAAAGCTAGACGTTCGTCAACGTCTGTCTGTTAGTGTTATCTACCACACTATAAACACAATAAGGAGTAACATTACAGAAACTGACAATCTTGATGCCACTTACAGCTTCACGAGTAACAACTTCACCTGTAGCGTGAAGTGTCTTGTTACAGTAACAATTTCATCTGTAGCGTGAGGTGTTTTGTTACAGTAACAACTTCACCTATATCGTGAGGTGTTTTGTTACAGTAACAACTTCACCTATAGCGTGAGGTGTTTTGTTACAGTAACAACTTCACCTGTAGCGTGAGGTGTTTTGTTACAGTAACAACTTCACCTGTAGCGTGAGGTGTTTTGTTACAGTAACAACTTCACCTATAGCTTGAGGTGTTTTGTTACACTTACAGAAATGTAGGTCGAAAACTTTTCTTTTTGATCAGTTTGTTTGTTTTTGAATTCCGCGCAAAGCTACACGAGGGCTATCTGCGCTAGCCGTCCCTAATTTAGCTGTGTAAGACTAGAGGGAAGGCATCTAGTCATCACCACTC